GACTTGAACCTGAGTCTTCTTCACTCAAGTTCAGCACTTTAGGCAATATATTATACAAATTAAAAAGGCATTAGTCAACCGGTCACACAAGAATGAAAAATAATTGACAGGCAGACATGTTGGCTGCTAACTATAGTCTTGACAGAGAAGTAACATTTCCCCTTCAAATGGGGTGAAAGTGACTTTAATATACATGCTCCATGTATATTAAACAGTGGCTGTGACATTGATGTATCATGTGCAGTTGAAGTTGTATTCCACAAATGCAAATGTTGATGGCTTGCAGGCTGCTGATGATTCTGTTCCAGTTTACATTATTTTATTAGATTGGCAAAAGAACTGGAACTTGAATGGAATAAAAGCGGGTAGTTTTTGCTTTGGGGAAATACCGTATTTTCCGGTGTATAAGACGACTTTCTAAACCCTGAAAATCTTCTCAAAAGTCGGGGGTCGTCTTATACGCCCAGTCATCTTATACACCGGAAAATACGGGTATTCTATTTTATTCCTTTATATAAGCTGAGGACGCGATGGGGGCGGCGGTCAGGAGCTGCTGCCTCCCGTCCTGCTCCCCCTCCCTGGACGCGATGGGGGCGGCAGCCAGGAGCCGTTGCCTCCCGTCCTGCTCCCCCTCCCCGCCCATTCGGCTGAGGGGAGGGGCGGCCAGGCTGGGGGCAGCGTGGACTCCCAACGATGCTGCGGTGGCTGCTGCTGTGCCGCAGCTGGAGCCGCTGCCTCCCATCCTGCTCCCCCTCCCTGCCCGTTCGGCGCCGTCTGCCTTTCATTCTCTCTCTCTCTCTCTCCTAACCTGGAAGGGAGAGGGAGAGAGAGAAAGAGGAAAGAAAGAGAAGAGAAGAGAGAGAGAGAGAGAGAGAGAGAGAGAGAGAGAGAGGAAAGAGAAAGAAAGAGGAAAGAGAAAGAGGAAAGAAAGAGAAGAGAAAGAGAGAGGAAAGAGGGAAAGTGAAAGAGGAAAGAGAAGAGAAAGAGAGGAAAGAGGAAAGAGAAAGGAAGAGAAAGAGACAGAAAGAGAGAGAAAGTTAGAGGAAAGAGAGAAAGAGAAGAGAGAGGAAAGGAAAGAGAAAGAGATAAAGAGGGAGAGGAAAGAGAGGGGGAGAGGAAAGAGAAAAAGAGGAAAGGGAGAGAAGGAGAGGAAAGAGAGAAAGAGAAAAAGAAAGAGGGGGAGAGGAAAGAGAAAATGAGGAAAGAGAAAAAAGATTGAGAAAAGAGAGAGGAAAGAGAGAAAGGAAAGAGAAGAGAAAGAAAGGAAAGGGAAAGAGAGAGACAGAGAAAGAGAGGAAAGAGAGAGAGAAAGTTAGAGGAAAGAGGAAAGAAAGGAAAGAGAGAGAGAGAGATTCTTTTGACATCTAAAATGAAGGTAACACTGCATATATCCTTTTTTACCTTTATTTTATATAACACACACACACACACACACACACACACACACACACACACATCATAAAGGTAAAAAAGGATATATGCAGTCTTATCTTCATTTTAGATATCAAAAGGGTTTTGCGGATCCCAGTGTTTTGTTTTCGGTGGGAAACGTGTCCAAGTGGCTCTTTGAGTGTTTTGGGTTGCCTACCCCTGATATAGCCCAAACTCTATATTTTAACTGGAAAAGTTGGGGGTCGTCTTATACGCCCAGTCGTCTTATATGCCGGAAAATACGGTATGTTTTTGTTATCCCAGTATGAGCTAAAAAGCATAGACTAATTCCAAAATAGAAAAAGTAGGTAGAGATGGAAGACATTTTGGAGTCTTCGCTAAACATTTGTGTATTTGTAATAAATGGCCTGGCCAGATATTTTTAGTGGAATTTGCTTTCTTCGGACTTTCTTTGTATCATTTTTATTTAGTCTAGATAAGAGGGTACATATCTGGGCAGATAAGTTGCATCTGTTGCACTCTAGAGAAAGGTTGGGTCCATAGTTTGGAGTGCTTCTGGATCCAATCTTGATACTGAAAGCACATACGGTCATTTGGAGGGTGATTAGGAAAGCTTTTTGTTAGCTTATTAAGATGGTAGTTGCTATATGAATCCATTTGAAAAGCATCAGTTTGTCATGGTCTGTTTTGAAATTGTACGTGTCATACTAGTGCATTGCTATTGATAGAAATCCTGACGTTTACATAATGCTGTACAGCCCCCTCCCTCTCTCTCTCTTTCTCTCTCTCTCTTTCTTTCTTTCTCTCTTTCTTTCATAGACATGGATATATCTTATGGCCCAGTTGCCATTTTGTGTGACATCCTGATATAATGCAAACAGATTTTAATTATGTAGATGAGAACCTTGCCAGGAATAACACCTGCAAAAATTTTGTTCTTGTTAAGAACAGTGAAAAAAATCTATTTCCCACTCCTCTATTCCTTCAAATAGGCAAATGAGTTAGAAGTTAGATTTATAAGCTGAATAATTTTGACCTCCGGTACAAAAAATGTGAAGGGCTGATTCCTGGTGTTGGCATCATTGGCAAAGCCCATAATTCGGCAAAACAGCCACTGTTGGCTCCACAGACTTCCATTGTTACTGCTTATTTCTGACCTTTATAGAAGAATAAAAGTACAGGTAGTCCTTGCTTACAGATTGCCTCATTTAGCAATGGTTTGAAGTTAACAATAGTGTTCTTTTAAAAAAATCCATATTTATGACTGTTGCAGTGTTCTTGTGTCATGCGATTGCCATGTGGCATGTCACAGCTAGCATACTTTTATGACCATTACAATGTCCCATGTTCATCACCTGCTTACTTCGCAACCAACTTTTGACAAATAGAGTTAATAGAGAAAGCTAAAATAAACTCCTACATCAAGATCACATGATTTTCCATTTAACACTGAGTTGTCATCCCAAATTGTGGGTCGCTGCGTCTAAGCAAAAATAACAACTTTATGCTTTCACTTTGAATGGTGGGCACATTGACAATGGTGAAGATTGTGTGAACTGTTTAAAGGCTGCTCTTTGATATTGTAAGCCACCCACAGTTATCATGTAGTTGAGATGGGTGGCAAATAAATTTAATAAATAATAATATTAAATAATTGAATTATTTTGGTCTAAACTCACAAAACTTAAATTTGCACTAGAAGTGGTGGTGAAGCCTGGTAGTTTAGAACAGGGATCCCCAATCCCTAGGCTGTGGACTGGTACCAGGCCATGGCATGCCAGCAACCGGTCCGCACAAACAAGCAAAGCCCCATCCATGGGATACAGGCAGCGCATAAAACCACGCTCTCTCCGGTCCGTGGAAAACCTTTCTCCACGGAACCGGCATGTGGTGCCCAAAAGGTTGGGGACCTCTGGTTTACAATTTTTTACAAAGTGCTTCAGAAATGACAGCATTTCTTTAGTTGAAAGAGAAGAGTTTGTAACTTGAATGCTTTTGGAGAATAAACAGACAAAACCTTTTTTAAGCCACTGTCCATAGCTTTGTGTTTTGTGTTTTATGATAACAAAAATATTTGATTTTGATACAAAAGTTCTCTAAAATCTTACATCCTACAAACCTACCATTTATCATAGTTATCAATCCTTTTTAATTTGCACCTACTATAGATTTATAAAAGAGAAACTCCCATATAATATATAACTTGATGGTTCTATATTAGAATGCTGAGAATTGTTACAAGATCATTTTTGAGAGATATAAAAAATATCTCATATTCAGAGGACAGGAAGGCCTGGAGGAATGTTGTCCATGGGGCCGCGATGGGTTGGACACGACTTCGCAACAAACAGTGCATTGTTTGTCTGTCTATACATATACATGTATGCATACTCTATAAGTGATTAATGTGATATAGTAAGAAGCAGTTGATAATGTCTGTATACCTAGATTATATGAGGTGAGGGAGAACCTAAAAGTGGTTTCAGAAAATTAGATAATAACCTAAAGATCTGTTCAGGCATGGGCTATTTTTCCTTGGGAGGAGGGCATTATATTTCTCCCATAAGTTATATTGGGTGTTTCTGGAATTAATTAGATTTTCTCATTTTTCTGGGTTTTAAAGGAGGAATAAAAGATAATTTTAATATTTTAAGCCTAAGACCTACAGCATGAAAGCAGCAATTGAATTTCTGCAAAGTTATCAGAGGGAGCATTTGAGATTTTAGGAAAATGGAAGTTGGAGCAATTTTTGGCATCACCTCTTCAGCCTTTGCAGGCTGAACTCTTCTGAAAAAGGAGTGGAAAAATGGTGTAGTCCAGGAGATCAAAAACATTGCTTGTCATTATCTTTTTCTTATCCCATTGACTTTGGCATTTAACTTTTATTACACATTAGCAAGTGTCAGCATATAAGTACATTAGGCTGATCCCAGTTATGTACAGTTAAATGGGAGACAATCAGAATATCTTAAGGTTGCTTGCTATGGATTAAGAAGACAAAAAACCATTCTGGAAAAAAGCAATGGCAAACCATTTCTGTACAATATTGTTTGAAAGAAAACTACATGGAGAAATCTATATAATGGAATCAAGCTCGACTAAAAGGAATCATTTTAAATTTGTATTATTATTAGTAGAAATAGTATGTTCAGTGATTTCAGAATCACCTAGCTTTTAATGAAATTAATAGCATAGTCCCTCTTTTAAAAGTACTTTACAGTTGGTGCTTGCTTATTAGAGCAAAAACTTCTAGTTTTCTAACATTTTCAATCTGATATATAAGGGTGTATTATATTTTTCCTTCCCTTTTCTAGTCCTCCATTGTACAGCTATAATTCTGGCATATGATTAATGCTAGAATGGATGTTTTCACTAATTTGTTGGATTTTTCAGAGCAGGAATTTTAAGTCATGCAGTACAGTGAAGATAAAGTTGCTAATTAATAGAAAACTGAGAAACAATCTTGCAGGAGAAAAGGGAGGATAGGTACAAAGAAACAAAATATAATGAATGAAATGTAATGGTAGATTTTATTCTTGGCATAGTCTGAAAGAGAATTTGGCCTGTCAAAGTGAAATCATCTTTTTCCATTTCCCATGCAGGGACTGGTACTGCTTGGTGAGATGCCTCCTTCTGACCCTGTATTAAGTCATTCAACTCATAGTCTTAGTGTTGACCGCAAGAAGGAACCTGGAATTGACAGACTGGTAAGTAATAAGAGTGGAAGGAGTATTCCTTGGAGTACTTTTATCATCCCCTCCTTCCTACAGAAATTAGGAAATCAATAAATGCATCAGTAATAATCTATACATTACAGATTTCATAGTTGTATTGAAAATAAAGACTTTCCTTCTGTTGCTGTTTTTTCTTTTGTCCAGGTATTTGAAGAATTCCCAGTTAAGGAATAGCTTTCTGTCCTGCAGATGCTTCCAAAATCACCTACTTACCTAAATTGGCATCCTCAAAGTCACGTTTCTAGGATAGCATATTACTGCAGGCTATTGATTAGTACTTTATTAGAAGTTGGGATGCAGATTCAAAATTCCTGAGGACTAGAATAAAATAATTATTTTTATTTTTAAAAATACTCTGCCAAAATGTAGTACCTGCTTTTAACTTTTTTTAAAAAAACAAAACATTGTGAAAGAAGTACTGCAGGCAGAATTAATTTAAAACTGGATGAATAGAGAAAACACCAGACCTAGAAGTAGGCAGAAACCTAGTAAATGATTGTGAGACGGATGAGATTCGGTTGTTCACCCTAATTTCTAGAGGAGCATAGATGAATACATTCCTGATTTCAGATTCAAGGGCACCAGGTGCTTTTAATCAGTATATGGATTGAAATATCAATATTTTCAGGTTCTGGCATCCAGGGTTTACTCATAGATGACTAGGTACTGGAGACCTTTCTATCCATGAGTTGGTATCTCTTGGGAATGCTTAGCAAGTTAATACTGTGGAAGTTATTCTTCACAGATTTTTAAAGGAATGCCTATATTTGCTTTGCATACAAAAGTTCAGTCATGGTTACTTTGGTAGCAGACATTTACTTGAAACCATGAACAGTAAATAAATATTAGCATACTGTCTGAGTAAAATAAGCAAGTAAGTGTCATATAAAGGTATTCCACACTTGCCCATTAGCCTGAATCTGTAAAGCTTTACAATTGCTTGCCCAAAAGTGATTGCTCAGGTGGTATAATAATGTCAGTGACATCTGATTTAGACAGGTTTCAAGATTGCAATCATGTAAAATTGTGTTTGCAAATTTCTTTCATAGGAGAGCAGAAAGCTACTTGTCTACTGGATATATTTGATCACAATCATCTGCAATGATGGGCAGTGTCTTTCTAGACTTTCAGATAAGAGTTTCCTTAGTCTTATCTGAATATGTCACTCGGATATGTACAAAATACCTTCTGTTCTAAGACCTTTTGTTTAGAGCAGACTGGGCTACTTAATCAAACACTGCCAATTTTAATTTTTGAATTCCTTGAGAGAGCTTTGTCTTTTAAGGCGATATTGCCAGCAATGAACCAAATTATGGGGCCAAAGGTAAAAGGGTCAAGAACCAACCTAATGGAAATAGCCCGTACACGGAAGTCTAGTAGTGATTGTAAGGCCAACTCAATGGCCACAGCCAGCCATCGTGTGATCCACTTAGTGACAGCAAGGGCAACTTAATGGTATTGTCCAGCACACGTGTAGTCCACTTAATGATGGTAAGCCAATTTAATGGTTATGGCCATCGCCATTGGTTTCTTTAGAGGCGGCAAGATCACCTTAATAACAAAGGGTTGTAAAAGGGAGGAGGTTGTTTCTCTAAGGCCTGGAGCCTCCTGCTGGCCTCCCTTTCAGCCGCCCTAGAAGATTTCTTGACAAAAATAGCCTTGGTCTTAAGTCAATCGGCTGCCTCCTGTTTGGAGAACCTGGACTTCCTTTTCATGGAAATGCAGAGGGACATCCTGTGAAGTCTGAGATGCCAAGTTGTCTGCCATCATCATCAGAGATAACCCGGTGGTGTGCTTAGAGGAATCTCAGTAGTAATGAACAGAGTATTGATAGTGTCAAGGCCACTCCATGTAAGAAACAGTGTGCTCAAGGTTCTAAAGTGACTGCAGAACCAAATTAATGGTACTGCCCTCACCCATGCAATGCTCCTGATGGCAGTAGGACCAGTAAGCGCACGTCCAGTGCTCTGGTCAGTTCAACTGTGGTGGCAAGACCAGCTGAATGGTAACAGTCAGTTCACAAATAGTTCACTTAGTGACGTGTGTCTCACTTAGTGATGGTAAGACCAACTCAGTGGTAACAGCCATGCTTACATGTGTTTCACTTAGTGACGGCAAGACCAACTCAATGGTAACAGCCAAACTTACATGTGTTTCACTTAGTGATGGTAAGACCAACTCAATGGTAACAGTCAGGTCACATGTAGTTCACTTAGTGACGGCAAAACCAACTCAATGGTAAGATCCAATGCACATGTGGTTCACTTAGTGATGGCAAGACCAAATTTTGAGGCCTGTGTGAGGTCAGAAATGTCGGCCTGTCTATGTTTGCCTCTGTTTGCAGGCCTAATCCACCTGAGGCCTGACGAATTTAGTGATAACCAGAATCAAATCCAGAAGAGATTTAGACTTAATCAGCCACCTGCAGTAGTTGAATCCAAGAGCAAGGTGATGAGCTTGCCCTCATTGCATGAAACAGAAATACAGAATTTAGGCCCGATTGACGGTCGTGATTCGCAGCCTTTAAAATTGACTGCCACTCAGGATTGTTGAGATCTAGGGCCCCTTGCAAGATTGCAGCCAGAATTAAAATTCCGTTGCTGCCTTCCTGGTGACCTGATGAAATCATTCGAAACGGACAAGACAGATTGCTCTGCCTCCAACAGGGGCAATCTGACCGAATCAGTCAAAAATAACCACTGCCTCCCATGCAGCACGACCGTGTGGTGCCAAATGGTGACCGCTGCCGGCGAAAATGAAAGGAAAGTTCTCCAAAAGTAAACAATCGCTGCTTCCCATGCAGCGCGACCGCGTGGTGCCCGAAACGGCGACCGCTGCCGTGAAAACGAAGGAAAGCATTTCCAAAGAAAAACACAATCGCTGCCTCACGAGCAACGCAACCGTGTGGCGCCCAAAATGGCGACCGCTGCAGCGAGAACGAAGAAGGAAGCATCTCCAGCCAACGCCCGGGACAGCCAACAACAAACGAGCCGAAATCGCTTGAGAACCTGCAAACGGCAGGCCTCCACACGCTCCCAAACAATGCGAAAACAATGTGACAAAGGGAATGATCGTGCCTCCACGAGTCGTCTGCTGGCACCCGCTAAACAGGCCTCCTACCAGGGTGAGTTGGAGGCTTCTATGTTAAGCCTCAATCCCCTAACCCACCTAATAGCTGTGCTATTAAGGCACAGCGACTGGAGAAAAATACACCATAGATGGGAAATAAATAACAGAAATACTACCTGATCTGTCTCTGCCTAAGATTGAGCCAATCTTACCACGTCTCATATGGCGAAGACTAAGTCAAAAACTGGGTCTCCTGGGCCAGGGGAAGAGGCGTGGCAAAAGTTGATTGATTTAGTCTCTAGGCAGGAAGACAAAGGATAACCCATCTATGGTGGATTCTCCATCAGTCATGCTGGAGAAGATAAAGTTCTCAAGGAATTCAAAATTTTGTTTTTGCTCCTTACTTACTTTTTGCAAAGCATCTAAATAGTATTGCTCCTATATAACATGATACTGTGTATACAGCAGATTCAGTTCATAGAAGATAAATTAGTAGATTGCATATCATTGTTTTTCTGCTCCTCGGGAGAAAAAAATAGTTTTTTCTTATCTTAGGGTGTTCTGGATTTGTTTTTGTTAAAGCTTTCAAGCTTTTGGTTGCTTGAAATATCTTCCATTGATATATATTTATCTTTAAAGTCTCTCTAGATTCTTTGTTATGTACAAAACCTAATATGACTGCTCTTTTACTTGGTCCACTTAAATTCTCCCCTTTAAAAATGCTTTTGGGTAAGGGCTAAAAATCTCTTTTAAAACCCCATCTTTCTTCAGTATATTCATTTTGAATTTTAAAATGATCTTGTCACAGCCTTGTAATACTAGCTCAAAGTTAAAGATAAGCTATAACAGTGATAGCGAACCTTTTAGAGACCGAGTGCCCAAAAACCACCCCGCCCTGCCGGCCACCCTGTGCCCCGCCTGCCTGTAGGACCACCCGCCTCCACAGCCCACCGCAACAGATCGCCCAGGCAGCCCAGCAGCGCCATAGTGGCCACACCCTCCACCCGCGTCCTGCAGCATCATCTGCTGACGGAGCACAAGGGCAGAGTCTTGTCCCCGCTACCTGGCTGCCATGTCCTTGGCTGCGCTGCTCTGTGCAGGCCACACCCGGGGGGCGACTCTCCTCCGGGGGGGCTGCTAGTGAGGAGGGGGCCATGGGGGGAGGCAGGGCTGGGGCAAAGGCACACATGCCCACAGAGAGGGCTCTGAGTGCCGCCTCTGGCACGCATGCCATAGGTTCACCACCACTGAGCTATAATGTTGTGAATCATAAATGTATAAACCAGTGCTCTATTTCAAATAGCCTTTCTAATATGATTGACAATTTTATTGGGCCCTTCTCAAACATTTTTATAGGTATAAGAGCTAGAAGCTTGGTTTTAGAAAGGGTTAATTATGAAAGACTAAACTTTCAGTGGTGTAAATTTAAACAGAGAACAGTAACAGTAAAAAGAATATAGAGTCTCTGCATCAAGTTTAGTAAACTATTTTGGAAACGTACAAGGTATACTTGCATTGCCTGGGTATTCCTGGGTGCACCAGTCCATACATTCCATAGACGGGTCTCCACCAATGGAAACTAACTTCCATGTGAAAATGATGGATAACCGAATTTTAAAATGAGATGTGCTTGACCATCATTATTTCTAGGTTGGAAAAACTGTTTTAAAGTAGATGATCAGAAGAGCATGTGTGAAGATGCAGAAAATGCTGTTTCTTTAATTGTCTCCAAGTTAATGGATCTTTGAAATCATGTTCCAGCCTATTGTACTGTTCGTTGCTGAGTTACAGCTATCGTACAATTCATATTATGAAATACTCTTGATTCCCAAATGCTGCTGGTAATTTTAGAGTTTGTCATGTTAAAGAGAAAGAAAAGAAGCCATTGATCAGAGTGTTATATAATTCTAACGAATTTTCTTTCTTTCCCCCTGCCTCCTTCCCTTTCCATTTCTTGTATTGATACACATGCATCTATCTCCCAGTCATCGGAGAACCTTGGTATGTCCATTAGTAATACCCAAGAATCTTTAACTGCCAAAACCTGTGGAGTGCCGAGACCAGTCAATGGAGTCATTAACACGTAAGGTTCTTGCTAAACCTTCCCTTAAGAAATTATAACCTCTAGAAAGGTACTTCTGAAAGGCCACTCTCGAAGGTACTTAGACTAGTAAGTGTATATAAATCAAATTAACTCTGATAGTATCTATTCAGCATGTCACTTGTATCTTTACTAGAAATCTTAAAAATAAAGGATTTGGAAAAATATAGAAAGTTCTGAGCCAGAAGTAAGTCAAAGGACCTTCCACAACCTGATGTTCTCTAGATGTTTTAGACTATAACTCCCAGCATGGCTAGGCAAACTGACTCAGGAAGCTATAGCCCAGCTAATCTGGAGAACGCGTTGGATTGAGAAAGTAAAAAGTGATGAAAAGTTAACAGGATAAATCTGCAGGAAAGCTGGAGTAGGCATTGTGTACAGAAGCATAAGATAGGATAATAGTGAAAAAGTGTGAATGAGAAAAATGTAAGCCAGGAAGACATGAGAAGCAGTAAGAACAAAGGAAAAACAGTAGCTTGACATTTCCAAATAATGAAAAGGTAGAGAGTTGCTGACAAGTGATGTTTATTGCAATCTAGCCTAACTTGGTATCAAAGAAGAATTTTGGGGGTACTGATCTTATTTTGAATCTTTTATTATATACATGGATTTATTACTTTGCCTGGACAAAAGGGCTGCTGGTTTTAGGTAATGAAAATCTGACCCCAATTAGTAATAGATGGAGAAGTAGAAATGCCTAATGCCTTTTTCCATTGTTGAATAGTCTACAGCCAGGCTTGACAGAGCAAACTCAGGGAGATGGCTCAGATGCTGAGGAGCTGTTGCGGAAAAAGCAGAGATTAAATATGATGTCTTCAATTCCTGATGGAACCTGTGTGGCAGCCCGCACACGCCCTCTTCTCAATTGTAAGAAGCGGAGGCTTGTTCGACCCAGCAATCTAATTCCACTATCCAAAAAGGTCTGTAAATGAATTAAAGTAGTAAAAAAAAAAAATGGAGGGGAAAATCTTGCAGCTATATGAGATAGTTAACAAATTGTTGGTTTTACATATTGTTCTTTTGCCCCATATTATTATAAAATCTGCTTAGAGTCTCTCTGGCATTCAAGTAAAGTGCATTTATTGGTCTTCATGTCAGTGGAACACACACACCCTCCCCCGCTGTTAAATGAGTTTGGCATTGAGTAGGAAAGACTGGGAGAGAGCTACATTTTAAATCTTGATTGTTTGACTGTAGACGTGGGTAGAGGAAGGTAGTTTAACTTCTCATTCCACTATGCATCCTGCTTTAGGAGGTAAGATTCATATTTTTAAACACTTTAATTTGAGTTCAGTTTAGTTTTAGAGTTTTTAATTTAAAAAATGTTTAAATAGTTACAACGTTTAGTATACTGAATTCAGAATCAGTTCTAAGTTTTGTGTTTGAGTTCATTTACAGCATAAAATTACCATTATTATCTGTTGTTTTTAAAAAGATCTTTTTTGTTCTTTTTTCATCTCTCCCCCACATTTTAAAAAAATGGCTAATCTAAGTATTTAAGGAAGTATGCATTTTCAGCCAGATTGAACTGTTTCAGTGAAATAGTCTGGTAGGATAACAGCTTGGGGCAAATGTGGTATTGATGGTCAACAAATTTAAATTTGTATGCATAAATAGAAGGCACAGTACACAGAATGTAAACCTCTAAAAAACCCCAATTTTTATCTAATCATTCTAAACTACATTAGTATTGAAGATAAAGTGTTACTGTGCTCATTCTCTGATGCAGAAAAAAGGCATTTTTCCCCCGAGAACAAAACTTTTATATATGTTACTTTGGGGCTATTATATTATCATGGATATTGAAGAAGATTTGTTTGCTTGTTTTTTGTTTGTTTTAATTGGAGCATTAGTAGGATGAAGCACTATTAGTGACAATTATGTTTCAGTGGATACTTTGGAATTTGTGAATAGCAAATATCCTGTTATTAGATAGTCTGTAAATAGTAGTTTTCTAGTCCTGAACAAGTTCTGTAATAAGAGAGACAACTGCAAAAACTAAAGTACAGTTAGTTTGCCCAAACAGTAGAGAAAGCTCAACCCCCATTCTTTATACCTGTAGTTGACCTTCTTAGGCAAATTCACAAACTCAGTCTCACTCATCCATTCCTGTTCCCTTTCCACTCCCATCAGATCACCTTGGAGGCTTGTTAAATGCTTTGTGTAGTTCACTATGTCCAATAACTCAAATCATATACAGGTTGTCCTCGACTTACAACAGTTCATTTAGTGACTGTTCAAAGTGATAACAGCACTGAAATAGTGATTTATGACTGTTTTTCACAGTCACAACTGTTTACAATTTATGACTGTTTTTCACAGTTACAACTTTTGCAGTATCCCCATGGTCAAAATTCAGATGCTTGCCAACTGGCTCATACTTATGACCGTTGCTACGTCCCAGGATCAGATGATCACCTTTTGCGAACTTCTGACAAGCCAAGTCAATGGGGAAGCCAGATTCACTTAACAACCAACCATGTTACTAACATATCAACTGCAGTGATTCACTTAACAAGAAATGTCATAAAATGGGGCAAAATTCACTTAAATGACTTACTTTAACAACACAAATTTTGGGCTCAATTGTGCTCATAAGTCGAGAACTACCTGTATTTCCTCTTTCCACTGCATTGATTCTACAGTGAAATCAATTTCAAATTTCTCTGGATAATTTCACTAATCCTTTCCTGATTAACCAGTGCTGTCCTGAAGTTTCCTTCCTTCCTTACCAAGCAGTGGCAGTAAAGCATGTGTTTCCTTTTTTGTTTTGGGCAGCCAAGAGCACCTCAAAACCATTGGTCTCTGGCCAGCCTGATTTCCCATGTCGAGAAACTTGGAGCAATTCTACAGAATGAAAATAGTGGGTGATTGAAGACCAGGTGCCCAGTTTGAAACAAAGTGAAAGCTGATGCCTTCTTCTAGATTGATGGATTCTAGCCCTTCTCCCTATCTCATCCTATGTCTAGGTTTATCGTAAACCACAGCGGTGTGGTTGTGATGTCAACTCTTTGTGTGTTCTCTGTGGCTCTCGAAGCTCAATGCCTTCAGAAATCCAGTATGAAGCCCCTTTGATGGAGCATCTCTCACAGTTGGATTCCTGCATCCACCCTGTACTTTCATTCCCAGATGGTAAGAATGACCCCATTAGCAGATGTGAGTAATAAAAAGAGCTGAACAAAAAGTCAGCTCCTCATTCCAAGCTAACTCGGAAGCCATATCTAGGCAACAGTAAGGTCTCTAGTTTTATCCTGTCTTACATAGGATGCTGGCCTTAGGATGATCCTTTGGAAGCAGAAACCAAAACTTTTTTTCTTTTTGCTTAGACCATAGAGAGAGGCAGGCAGCCACATGGGGATAGTAGAGGCTGAATGATTTTGGATAAGGGAGGATCTGGAAAGGCATTTACTTTGGCTCTCCTAGGATATTGAGCTACTTTGGCACTAACGTTAGGCATCCCTGATCTAATTATCTAAGGGCTGCCTGACATGCACTGCTACAGACTAGTAGATAGAATTTAAACAACAATTGGGCATCTCTCCCCCCCCTCCTTTCCCCTGCCCTCATCCTGTTTCTCTCTTCCATATGTGAGGTTGTTAATGAGTGTTCTGCCCTCGTCTGGATGATTTGATATGTGACTGGAAATTTCCAGATGACGTAATAACATCATAACAACCTTGGTGAAAAGGATGTTAATCAGGTCTTTAAAACAGCTAAGATAGCGCCATCTGGGGCTCTTAAGAGAAAGCTGCTGCTCTCAAGCATTTGATCAGGGAAAAAAGGCTGTCTTGGCAGGTCACGATGCTGTTTTGGCGCAGTCAGATGTTGGCTAGCAGTAAGACAGAGGAAAAGTTAACTGAATAATCAATTGGATGGTGTGGTCAGATGGAAAAATTGCTCATTTTTCTTCAACAATGCTCTTCTCTCTTCGGTATGCATGCACATAGGTAGCATTATTTTACTGCTACAGGGCAGCCTTCTTAGGTTATATGCCTTTTCCCTCATTTGTATTTTATTAGCATGTGACTAGAGTAAAGGCAGGAGATTTGCTTGGCACATTGATTTGAATTTTTCTGCTGAAGGTATTTTACTTTTCGGCTTTTGGGCCTATTATCCAGGCTGTTTTTTTATTAATATCTGAATTCATCCTCTTTCATCAGCTGTTTCTCATATCCAACTACCTTTTCTATCTTAAACCCTGCTCCTAGTTTTATTTACTTGTGTATTGCCCATTTATGGAATATTCTGGGCAGGTACCTTATTTTCCAAACCAAATGGGTGCAACTATTTCTATACTGTGACTATCCTTGATTTTGAACTACTATGCAGAAGTGCACTCTAAACATGGTAGGCAATGGTAGGGTGAAAACTTAAAATGGATTTTGTTTCATCTACATTTGCAATAAGTAAACATTAAATATGATTACGGCCTAGGCATATACTATAGCATTTTCTCCATGTTAAAAACCACTGTTTGCTATACAGTTTGAAAATCTACAGGAAATGGTCAGAATGCTTTTGTTTGAGGGTTATGTTCGCATAGGATATGGCCTTGTATCCTTCAGTTGTGTATATGTTCTAAACAAGGGTATACATTTTGCTTTTAACTAGGTGTCTGTGTGTACACTTCATACATTGTCATGCTTTCTTTTACTTGTTGAAGGGTGCCTACATATTTACCATACATTTTCTAGTACCTTGTCTTTCAAGTTGCCTGCACCACCCCTAGCCCCATTTCTCTAGATCATAGGTAATGTTTGTGGTTTCTATCCATGTTCATGATTGGTCCATTTCACACATATAGAAAATTACCAAACAAAAAGGGAACTGCCAGTGACAAATTATTTGGAAGTATGTTCAGGTTGCTACTGGATAGACTATAGGACTGTGTGTGTTAGGTGAAAATAAAAGATCTCGTTTTGGATAGATGATGAATCAATGTTGTATTTGAGAAGTGATCAAATTCTTCATGTATGTGGAAAAGCTTTTTTAACTCAGTGTTTCCTCAAAGACATAAATTCATCTTCAAAATTTTATTGTAAGGCATACTTGCTGTCATCTAAGTTATTTAGGAATATCCTAGTTTTAATTTAAGGTGAACTCAATATTTACTTTAAGAAAGAAATCTTATTTTGGATTTTAACAAAATATTTTAATTGCATGCAAGTTAAATGAAACTTGAGATAGAAATCTACAACTTTTGAATTTTTTCCAGAGAAGCTGTTTCAGTTGGAGTTAGCTGCTGCTGCTGCCACTGTTGTTAGGTCTCTACAAACAAAACTGTTGTTCCCTAACTGGAGGCAGAGCATGCTTAAAGAGAAGGACTATTTTTCCTTTCTCTATTTTTTATTCTTTCAGTCCCTATGGGAAATCCCTTTAAGCAGTTTATAAATAAAAAGAACAAAAAATAAAACTAAGAAAGACCAATATTTTATAAAATATTTGACAGCATCGAAATTAATACAAGAATCCAATGCCTATTTTTTGTGCCTATCCAAAAAAAGGGGGGGCATGTCTACCAGATGTATTGTTGCTGAAGGCTTATGTTAGCTCAGAATTCCAATTGACTCAAGAAATCTGGAGGGCACGATGTTAGTGTAACTGCAGTTGAGCCATTACAGTGAAAATAAAGAACTCCATAAATATTGCTTTTCCCCCCCTCCAAATGGATGTAATTTTGATCCATGTTGCTATAAATCTCCAAATTTAGGTTTAGATAGATTTGGTGAGGAACTTTGTTCTGCATTCAGAATAGGCCATCTTTATTCTGAATAATGTCCGATAATTGACTTTTTTGGGGTTTGTGTTTGTGTATGTGTGTATTTATTTTTCTGCAGATGTACAAGTAAGCTTACACCTTCAGGGCATGTTGAAATCCCACTTGCAGAACAAGCCCTGTGAGAAAATCAAACCTCCCAAAAAGTTCGTGTTGAAGCACCGATCCACCGGGCCTGTCAGCAGCCTGTCTGACTCAATGCGCAAAGACCGTCACAAGCTGGTTAATACCTTTTTAGCAGCAGCCAGTAAGTGCCTTCATTGATTTTAATCTTGAATTGGCAGGAATTATCTGTTTGTTCCTTCAGAGTCATCTATGTATATGGCTTAAAGTCAACCAGGGTTCCACTTTGAAATGTGATTAATGCTAGTACCCAGCCTGGAAAAGGAAGTAATAAATAAGAGACTGCCTCTGAGAATACATTGAGTATTTGGGCCTCCCATAATAATAGTACACAAACTCTGGCTTTACAGCAGGGCTTCCAGGATTACAGGCAGCCTAGAGGCCCAGCTCTACTTTCTCCCTTTGGAAATATAATTTCTGGTAGTATGTCCTCTTTTAGTAGTAATTTAATTTAAGAAGAAAAAAGGTGAATTAGTTAAAGAAGAGAAGCTTGTATTTATGCTTCTAAAAATTCATTTGTACAAATAATAATTAAGCAGTGAAGAAAACAAACTAGGCAAGAACCAATGGCCTACAATGGTTATTGAAGTGAAACTTCAGCTCTTGTTCCCATTCTGATTTTTGCAGTGCCTATGTGAGTTAATGTTAAGGAGAACTTAATTTCATATTTGTTGAAAAGAAAAATCTAGCATGAATAACTGAAGGAATTAAACATGTAACTCTTTTTGAAGGATTATGTTACATAGAGAGGAAGAATAAAAGTAATATTTAATATTAAAGACATAAGGGTGTCCCTTATTCTGAGCCAGGTCTTTGCTCTATCTAGCCTAGAGTTTTGTGTATTCTGGCTTGAAAACACTACTTCTGTTTACAACCTTTTTTATCTGGAGATGCCAAAGTTTGACCTATGACTCTGAGCATACAAAGCATGAGTTTTGCTATTGAGTTTACCAACCTCCCCTCCCTTTCCCTTTTCTTACAAAATAGAAGCAGATTAAGTTTCTGAAATGTGATGTTGTAGACTGTTTGACCAGGAAACACTTTTCAAGGAATTTAGAATTTGTATTGGAGCATGAGGGAGCTGATTATTTAGTGTTGGCTACTGCTATGGGGAAACCATGATGTGTAAAACGCAGTCATTCTTGAACATTTCGTGGTTATGATATGTGTTGTTCTGGAACTGAAAACAATTAAACATGGATTGTGTGTTCCTAAATAAGCAAGAGAAAATATATTTGCGTGCACACACATACACATTTATTCCTACTTTGTGAGTGGATTGTTTTGAGCATCAGGAACACTGTACAGCAGGGGTCCCCAGCCCCCAGTCCTTGGACCAGTACCAGGTCGCAGCATGCCAGCAACCAGGCCGCACAAACAAGTAAAGCCCCATCTGCGAGATGCAGACAGCATACAAAACCACGTACCCTTCGGTCCACAGAAAAACCTCTCTCCAGGGGAACCGGTCCCTGGTGCCCAAAAGGTTGGGGACCTCTCCTGTACAGTATATAATCGATAAACTGCCATGGTAGGTAATACTTAAAATAAAGCAAAAGACAGATCCTGCTGCTCTTGATTTTTGAGATAGTTCTGCAGTGGTCAAGTAGCACCATCTGTAATTGCCTCTTGACTCTCTTTAGAGAATACATTTGACACAAACATGTAGGCCAGAATGGAAGCCAGCATGTTAGAAGCCTTGGCAGGGCTGGGTGCAACTCAAAAGTTCTGTACTATAACAGTCCTCGTTAACAGATGGATAGACAGACAGATGGATGGATTTTTACTACAACCACTAAATTAATATGGTTGTCACCTGAGGGCAGTTGCTGCCAGTGACTCTTTTATGTTGTTCTGGCAATCATGTTTGTATGGCTCCTAGGTCCTGCCTAGGTTGGGTCCTGAAAGACAGGAAAGAGAGGTGAAAGCAGGGCATTTTCATGGCTCTCTTTCTGTTCCACTCCTCAGCTTGCTCACATCATAAAATCGAGCCAGACAAGGCACACAGGCAGCTCTTAAACGATGTGAGGGCTGCTCCCAAGGCCGAGAGAGCGCCAGAGCGCTCACTTACCCTGACGGCAGTTCATGAAAGAAAGCGATTGCGGGACAGCTCCTCCAAGAGAAGTGAAGGTAGGCTGGCCCCAGCCAGGTCTGTCCGGGGGGAGCTTGGGCTCTGCGTTCTGCTCCCCATCTCCCTTTCGAGATGGTCACTTTCTGTTTCTGGGGAATTAAAAGGGGCAACGAGTGGTGTTACCTGCCATGGTCTCTCTTGTGTGCTTTTAACAACTTCTTCCTCTAGAGAAGCAGTCCAGCCAGAGGAAGTTTCACTCCCTTAAGTGTGCTCTGGTTCTTCTATGTCAATTGTTTGAGGCCTGTCTGGTGTAATGCTTGTGGGTGTAATACAGGCATTCTCACTCATTGTTCTCTTCCTTATTTCTTCTCTTTCTTGCTTGCATAGTGTTGAAGCATCATGCAGAGATAGGAGGGCCAAGTTATTTGTCAAGTGCTATGGCCTCCACGGCTCACAGTTCCTTCATGAGGCAACTCTCCACTTCCTCTGAAAATTCCATCCCTCCTGTCACCACAAGCTCCCTGGGAAGTTCCAGTGCAACTGTAAGTACTTTGGATGGGGATGTGGGGTTATCTGACAGTAGCAAGTGACTTAGAGTTTGATTTCTTCAGTGCTTTGGGATGCAGTGTGTTGCATGACCCCAGTCATTCCAGGTTTCAAGGTGCTTGAGAGCTAACCTTGACTTAGAATTAAAATTAGGGTAAGGAGATATGACTTGAACAGAAGGATATGCATATGTGCTCTTTTGTTTCAATTATAGAGTATGGGACACAAACGACTGTATCAAAGGTACAGTGAAAAAGGTGATTTTTAGCTTTCATGATCATCAATCTTAACAATTGGATTTAGATATAGTGTCCCAGACTGTAGTAGAGGAAGAAAAAGTGAAGAAAAGCAGGCTTCAGAAGTTGGGGAGCAATATATTCTGGGTTTGGGAACAAGGAAGTCGTGAATCATAGTGCAGAATGGGTGAGAGAGTGGGGGTAAGAAGTGGCAGTTAGAAATGAAATGTATCTGCAGTTTCATGCATGGAAGGGGAACTTTATGGCTTTTCAGTCCAGCTGAATTGAAACTTGCTAGTTTTTTGTGTTTTGACCCAGACAATTGAAAAGGACCTTACAAAAGAAGTAGGGTAAAATTGGTGTACCTCCTCCTCCCTCTATAGCTTGCTCTCCCTCCCCTATCTCAGTCTTCCCATGGCTTGCTTTGCCTTAGCTTTCAAACTTATCCTACATATACGTCCACCTTCTGTAACCAACCTGTGCCATCTTATTCCTTACTTTCTTCTGTATACTTTTAGCTGTTGCCTCATGTTACCATCTCCTTTTCCCCCTTTCCCATTCTCCCCATTGCAGAACATCTCTGCTTGGAAAATGCATGGTTTGGACACAAGAGTAAAACCGCATATTCTAACCCTGGCACAACTGCCCAGAACTTCTCGTCCTGTGTATGGAATAGCCTGTACATAGGGTGATTGGTGTATGAGATTGTGTGCCCAGACTCTAGAAAAGCACACTAATGGATAGTTAATTTTGTCTGAAGCATTGCTAGTGATAGGTAGGCTTCATTTGGCAGGATTTGGTTCCAGACTTGTCAAGCATTTAGAAAATGCTTTTGGGGAGCCCTCTTGTGATTTATTTTCTTAGCATTTGGACACTAACAGCACTCTACAAGGTCACTGTGTTTTGGGTCACTAGTCCCATATTCATACCCCTTCCTTATGCCAAGCAAGTTTATTTGCTTGAAATATTTATTTTATTTTATTTATTAAGTTTATATGCTGCCTGTCTTTTAATGTAATTGAGCATCTCAAGCTGTTTAGCCCATATTAGATAAAAGTGGAATTTCAATGACATCGCTAGAGGAGATGTTCAAAATAGCATTCTAATTCTTACTTGGAGAAATCTTTGGTTGGACACAATCAGGATCATTTTAGCTAGGGCAGGATAGTAGCTAAGTCAGGAATTGCACATTTAGCTATAAAAGTGCAACTACCACATTAATTTTCCTGTATAGAGTGGTTATTGAAAGAATAAAATTAAGAAAAAGATATATATTTCTTTAAATTCCTGTACAAAAGCTGGATGTCAGTCTAAGAAGCAATCATGATTTCCCTATTCAAATTTGAGTTGAATAGAAAATGCCATTTCACAAACTGTTTGAATTGAAATTGTTAATTCATTTCATTCAACCTGGAAAGGCCAAACAACATGCGTTAACATGGTCATGATGGAACACGATCAGTCAACCAGTTCCATTCATAAGAAGGGGGTCCTACAATTAAAAGTAATAAGATAAATTAATCTAGTTGAATGTTTTATTTGTTGGGCAGATGAGAGCAGAAAGAAAGAAGAAAAGTGTTCAATAAAGACATGTACAATCCAAATATATTGGAATGTTATGGCTCAAGGATGTTGGAAGTTGTGGACCAGGTTAAATTCTCTGTATGATTTTGGTCTGCATTTTCCATTAACCGTACAAGTAGCTATGTTTTTATTGGTTATGATGGAATTTCAGTTACATATTTTTGTGTCTTTCTGCACATAGAGCAATCATTACAAAGTCACTACAAAGTGACAAGGTTTTTTTTTAAATCATATTAAGCATTGTTAAAACCATTATTAAACTAACACAATTTAGAAAAGGACTGAATTTAGAAGGTGGTTTTGATCCGTTTTCTGAAAACAGAAAGAATGAGAACTTACCAAGGTTCTTCAGAGACCGTGCTCCAAAGCTTGGAAACAAGGCCATCTCTCAGGTATCTAGGAGACACATCAGAAAGTGAAGGTATCTCTAACAGAACCTCTTCTGCTGATTTATGATTTAACCAACTGGTCCATCAGATAGTGAGGGTCTTAAGCCATTCAGGATTTTAAAGATAAAAACCAAACCTAAAATTGTAGTCTGTAAGATAGTGCCAGTGGTCAGGTTTTTCAAAATTTGCACAATACTGTTATTGTTTACCAATTAGCAATCTAGTTTTTGCACTTTATACCAGTTGAAACCTCCATACAGTCCTCAAGAGTAAAACTATATAGAAGACATTGCAGTATAAACAAGAAGTAGATAATTATTGTTAGATCTTGCCATCTCAGATACAGCCTCTTCTGCATTAGATGTGATTGCTTGACCATATTCCTTATCACTCATGCCATCTGAAAATCCAGAGATAATTGGAGGTGTCAAGGAGCCCTTCCAAATGCTGGTCATCCTCTTTTACTTAGAAGGTAATCCCATCCAGAATGATGAATAATGTAAAGAAAAACTTACCATCACTGACCGCTTCTGCCACAGACCCAGCATGGGACCAATATGGGAAAAGCTGAGTATAAATACCTAAATATGTTCATGAATAACTTTAATGTCACCAATTTAGACAAAGGGAAATAAAAGGGTCTTCCCTTCCATTTCCTTTTTGGTTTGTGTTATTATGATACTTACGGAATCTCACACACTTTGGTCTCCATATCAGTACCTCTGTATGAGTTTGCAAGCAAGAACTGGATCACGAAATTTGCATCTCTGTTTTGAGTAGCTCCTGCTGGTTGATACTTCATTGAACCCCTCAGGTACCTAAATAATACTAGGTCCATTAATGCAGGACAGGGGCCTTGTGCTAGCCAATCAGTGGCAAGATGTGTATGTGTGTAACAATCCTATTTTCCAACATTAGCAGCTGAAGTGAGGCTGTTGGGTCTGTGTGTATCTGTGTAGCGGTGCTCTTGACTAATTGCTTGTCTCAACTTATGATTAAAGTGCAGTTTTAACAGCAATAGATGCATGTGCTTGGTTTTTATTCTCTTTATTCATACTGGGGGGAAAAGAGGACACTGAGACAATGGTAAATCGTAAGCAGTTTTTGTAAACATTTATTGGTAGTATTGTCTGTGGTATATTTCATGTCTGGTTTCCTCTACTTCAAGGTTTCCCAAGTTGGCCACCATTTTAAAAGTTTGAAATGTAATAAGGTTAGTTTCAAATTTCCCCAAGTAAGCTATTTTTTTTCTAAATGCCTCTTAGTAAGTTATAATCTTTCTTCTAAGCTTGTTGACACTAAAAAAAGTTCCAAGTATTTAAAGCAGTAAAGAAGATAGCCTGATTATGAAATTTAGTGGAAAATGCAATAAAAATGAAGTAATGAATAACTGTCTTAAATGGATATCATAATTTGGTATAAATTGCTATGTCAACAGAGCAGAGGCTTGAGAATCTCCTTAAGATAGTGTTTCCCGACTGTAGCAGCTTGAAGATGTGTGGGCTTCAATTCCCAGAATTCCCCAGCCAACATTGCTGGCTGGGAAATTCTGGGAGTTGGAATCCAACTTCAAGCTATCAAGATTGAGAAACATTTCATTAAGGAATGTGTGTAGAACCCTATTCACTATAAAACAGCCAAAAGGAAAAATTAGATCTGTCACAATATGGCGCCCACTGAGCCAGAGATGGTCAAAGAAGTATTCATGAAGAGTGTGGTAGAATCTTAGGCAAAAATCAGCAGCCTCAAGCACTTGTTTTTAATTTTATATTGGTGGGGTTACGTATGCAGAGTATGTATGAATGCTAGAACTAGCAATATAAGGCACATTTTAGCCATTTTTAGGAAAATGGGCTGTCATTTTCCTAAGGCTTTCCAATGAATTAATATATGTTTTACAAACTGGTGGCACTATACAATGGGTAGTGTAGCTTTACTTTAGTTCTAGTTACAAGGTTGCTTAATTTGGAATTTACATCAGGATATCTTCTGTTTTCCATTAGTAGTTGGTTCCCTGGAATATTTAAGCAAATTAGAACTTCTATAAATCCACTTCCATTGTATTTTAATCACTGGATTAATAGACCAGAACATTTGTCCTTTCTTTCTGCTATAGATTAGTTTTCAAATTGTTCCCTCTTCATAACCCTTGCCTCATTTTCACTGTTGTTTTCTGTATTGTTTTGCAGCAGCTGCCAAGAAGGAGAAGAGGGGAAAGCTCTTTTGATATTAACAACATTGTCATACCAATGTCTGTTGCTGCCACAACCAGGGTAGAAAAACTTCAGTACAAAGAAATTCTTACACCAAGGTATGTTCAGAGGTTTAGTTAGCATCTTAAACTTCTACAATCTTCTTGTTTATCCAAACCAGTTGAATGGCATAATATCTCTTTTTTGAGTCTCTGTAGAAAATTATTGGGAACTACTTGATAAATGTTCCACCGCATTAAAAGAACAAGCAATTAGAATCTTGCTTTTTCCATTCCACAGAACATCTGAATGAAGCTTGTAGGCCACCAGTGGTTTTTAGACTACAGAAAACCTCTCATAGATATAAGGATCCATGTATGCATGAACCTCTGAGCCCCAAGATATTGCTGATCTATATTTTTCAACTACTAGTATGCCCAATGTAAAGGATACTTGAAACAAGTTAAATAGTATCGAGAAAACTACCATCGCTCCCTCAATAGTCTAGAAACAGAACAATTCTCTTAAAATTGGGTTAAACATTTTGCTAAATAAGTTACAGAACAGATGTCTAATCAAATTTGAGAGGGTCAAGGATTTTCCAGGAAAGGGAAATGTAGTTCCTTACACTGGCCTCCTTACAAAATTTTGTTTTTCCATTACAGAAGTCATATTTCTACCGAGAGTGAAATTGCATGAGATGTAGTAGTTTGATCTAAAATATTTTATTTATTGTAGATTTTAGATTATTATAGATGGAAATGAGAAATGCTGGGTGTTAGCTGTGGCCTTGATAGAACTTCTTTGTTACATGCACTCCTTGACTTATGACTGTAATTGAACCCACAATTTTGGCTGTGAGTCATGACAATTGTAAAGTGGGTCACATGACCAGACCCGATTTTGCTACCCCTCCCCCAGTGGTTCTAAAGTGTTTGCCACCATCATTAAGCAGAATGAACCCATTTTTTGCTATGGGTAGGGTTTTTTTCCTGTAGACCAGAAGTAAAATACATGTTTCCAGCAAAAACATTATAAATCACAGTCATGTGACTGCAGGGCCATGGTTCTGTACTTTTCTAGAAAGATCATAGCTCATCATGCTTTTAATTTAAAAGATCCAATACTTTGGTCACCAATTTAAATGCTCTCTATTGTTGGTTAGAAATTAGAAGAAGAATTCTAGAGCAAGGGTGTGATAATCATGGAAAGTGAATTTGAAATATTTCCCACTCCTTCATTTTTTGTGTTTTTTCATGTTGTCATGGCAACAGTAGTCTCTTTTAGTGGCTCTATAATGTTACATAGTGGAGATGAATAGCTAGCTATCTCTGGCTCTATCCCTTGGATCTGTTTCATCATCCTCACCCATCCACTCCAACAGTGTGCCGTTAGAAGTGAAAGAGTTCCAGTTGATCCTTGCAAAAGCAATATATGTTTGTTATTATTATTGCAATTAATATAATATGTTATATAGAGATTAGAAACAGGCATTTTCCCTCAATAATGCTCATGTAGTCTCCAAATAAAGTGATTTTTTTAAAATGGCAAATCTCACAAACAGATTTTGCAATGGGTGATTGGAGTCACAGCCTAGTACAGAGACCAGAAGGCATGAGTTGGTATGAGCTGGTTTGTCTGATTTGAAATTATGCTACTGCATGTTAAAAGGACAGTTTGAGATATGACTGCTAAGAATATTTGTGAGATCTCTAACAAAGATGCTTGAAGCTTATTTGCTTTACCTGGAGTGGGGAAAGAGTTAGAAAGGTGTGCTTGAAAATCAAGGGCAATTTTTGTGATACAGAGGTTTAGAAGGGACAATAGTCTGAAATGCCATCATAAGAGTCAGGCTCCACCATAGCTCTGACTTTCTCAAGAAAGGTTTAAGATCAATCTTCAGCTTAAGTTGAGTTCTTGAGTTGCTTTGATCGTCAGTGAAAATCTCTCCATAAGTTCCATGGAGGAAAAGCCAAAGGCAAAAGTAGCAGAATTCCCTTTGCTGTTGTAGCCAGGTGATAATGAGTTTATTTACCCTACTGACTCTTCTTTTTTGACCAATTGTTGCAGCTGGCGTGTTGTGGATATTGGTGCTATGAAGGTGAATCCAGATGAAGACAGTGAAGAGGTAATTGTAATGGCTTTCCTTGGTTGTCTGTGCTTAATTTCCATGTGTGGGATTCTGTGCAGATTCTGATGCTATATATTATATTGGCATATGTTGACTTCCAGGTGTGTGTGTGTGTGTGTGTGTGTGTGTGTGTGTAAGGAGATGGCAAAACCTGGCACATGAGTGACACTTTCCATTCTAAAATGACCATGTGATCAACACATATTGACTTTTTCCAAGGAAGAACTCTTTGAAGAGGTCCAAAGCCATTCCTTGGCCATCTTGAGTGGCTGTTAAAAACAAATGGAAGTATCTGCCCACAGAGCATTTTTGGAGGGCAAAATAGAATTAAAATTCACAGTGAGTGCTGTTACTACTAAGAAACTAAAATTGGAGTGCCAATTGATTTCGCTAGTCATAGACTTCCCCACCCTAGCAAGCACTAATTGTGTTGAACTGCCATTCCCAGCCAGTATTACTGATTGTGCCTAAATATCCTTGGAAGGTGCTAGCTCAGGCTGGGAGAAGATTGTCTTGTGAAAGTTTGTTATCAATTTGATTAACTGAAGGCTACCCAATTCCCTCTGGGAGACTTACACTATTTTTTTTAAAAAAAGTAAGCAAAAAGAGGTATATGTCCAGTCACAACTATTTAATTGGGGTCAACAATCACCTTATTCCAAAGCCTGAGGAAAGATCTCTGTTTTAAAGACTTTCTAATGGGATGCTGTGCCAGACAGGAACCGTGATAGAGAGGTCATATTTCCTGGGTTCTTCTGGACAGCATTATATCCATATCAGTTCTGCCTGATATTACTGGATACGCAGCTATCATGGAAGAGAGGCAGTCATTCAAATAAACTAGCCTTATGTCAGTAAAAGCTTTACTGATAGTCCTTGAGTTATGACTATTCATTCAGCAACTGTTTGAAGTTAACAGCGGCACTAAATGAATGAATGAATTTACACCCTGTCTCTGAAGTTATGACTGTTACAATGGCCCCTTAGTTATATGGTGAAAATTTGGGCGTTGCAGGGGCCCTTCAACTATCCCCTGCCTGTCCTTTTGGCAGCCCGGCATTCATCAGCAGGAGTGCAGGGGGTAGAGGCTAGGGTCCAGCACTTTTGACCAGTTGCCCCCAGGCTGCTATTTTAGTCCCAGCACCACTGAGAAATGTTGCCTCAAAACTCCCAAGTGCTACAAAGCAAAATAGCCAACCTGCACTCCGCAGGCCCTGCTGCGCCCAGTTGAACTTAGCTGTCTTCCATTGCTGACCAGATGTGCCCAGCCTTGCTCCATATCAGGCTACTGCTGGCTGTTCCAGTCCTTTTGTTGAGGCCACTTGTATTGTTCTTAGATCAGTATGCCCCATTCTCACAATCCTTCAGAAGGCCTCTGAAGCTTTCTCAAAGTAGAGTGCATTACTGGTAGTCTTTGACATAACAACAGTTTGTTTAGTGACCTTTCAAAGTTGCAACATCATTGAAAAAAAGAGACGTATGACTGTTTTTCACAGTTACGACCTTTGCAGCATCCCCATGATCATGTGATCAAATTTCAGAAGCTTGGCAACTGGTTCATATTTATGACAGTTGGCATGTCCAAAAGTCATCTGATCACTTTTTGCGACCTTCTGACAAGGAAAGTCAGTGGGGAAGCCAGATTCATTTAACAACCATGTTACTAACTTAATAACTGCAGTGACTCATTCAACAATTATGGCAAGAAAGGTCATCAAATGGAGCAAAACTCATTTAACAAATGTCTCACTTAACAACAGAAATTTTATTGTTGTAAGTTGAGGACTACCTGTATTAGAACAGCACAAACAGCCTTGGGGGGAAAAGGCCTGGAATGCCCAACAGCTGCATCACAGAGAGCCAGATCACATTCTACCTCCTGTGCAGCAAGAGGAAGGTGAATAAGGTCATTCGGGCATGGCAGGGTCGGGAATGCTAGTCGGCAGAGACTTTGTGTTGTGTCATTCGGGTGGCTGGCTGTGGCACAAAACCTGAGGCATCACTCTTGTGACTGTGCTGTGGCTGAAGTTGAGGCCTGGGGGTAGTTGAAGTCCTTGGGTCTCTCTTAACGCCCTTTTGCTGCCGTTGAGTGCCTAACAATGGTGAGATTCAGTGAACGACAATCTGGAGTGCTAGGTGATGTGGTCGTCTGATGTTTTGCCTAATAACCACATTGCTTAACTATCCCAGTTACCAGGAATAGATAATAACCAGTGCCTTGACTTGTGCTTGGAAGCTCACTGACAACCAGTGCAACTCTCAGAGCAGGGGTTTTTCCAGTTAGTAATGCACTAGAGAGATTCATTTAGTGATAACCATTTCTCCAGCATGAGGGATGGATAATCCACATGATTGGTTTCCTGAAGTCCCTTGTACCCAATAAGACTTAAGTCTGAGATAGCCACGCCTCCTGCCTGGCCGCACATGCCCAGTTCCGACTTAGTCTTCTACCCAGAGAAGGCGTGTTGTTTCTTCTCTCCAGACTTCAGGTTTTATTTAACTATTTTTCCCTATTGGTGGATATTTCTCCCTTTCCCTCAAATCCTCAATTATTTTGTTTGTTCCCCCATACCTTCTGATCCTTTCCTCCGCTTTAATTCCCCCGTCTCCCTTATCTAAGGAATTGGAAGGGGGTTTATTAGTTTTAGTGGATCTTGCCTTCCCAGAGGCTGCTAGGCTACATTGCAGCGTCCGGGAACTGGGGGTTGTGGAGTCTTTTCTCCGCTCGCCCCAGTTGATCGGCAGGTCTCCGCGGAGGCTAGAGGATTGCAAAACAGCCAAGGAGAGCTTTCTCGCTCTCTGGCTGCTGCCGGTTTTGGTGCTGGTTCGGCGCGATCGTTTTGGGGGTGCGCGGAGCTGCCGCTTAAGCCCCAAGCTGCGCGGATCGCCCTAGCCTTTGGAGGAGGTTTCTCTCGATCGCGTGGCCTTTTTAGCATTCTCTGCTTGTACGCGATCGTTTTGGGGGGAGCGTGGGACTGCGCCACAGCCCAAACTGCGCAGATCGCCCTAGTCTTCTGGCAGAAAGGAAAAAAGTTCATTCTCTTTCGTTTTCAGCAGCCTCATCGCAAAGCCACGTGGCTGGGGCCGCCATTTTAAATTGAGGCCTGCATTGCAGGGCAGCTCCACGTGGCCGCCATCCGCCATCTTGTATGGTGGCCTGCACTGCAGGGCTGGCGCGGGACAGCAGTTTGGTCCCCACGTGACTGGCGGTCGCCATTTTGCATCATATTTAACATTCTGGTGAATTTGGTGGCTCGTTTAGTTCCCCCCCCCTTGTTTTTTGGGGAGGGCAGAACCAAGAGAATTAATACCCCCTGCGGTTCCCAGCCATATCTATCTGACATTGCCTCTGGCAATATAGATTTTTACTCCCTTCTTAGAGTAATCACCTTGTCTCTCATTGGGAGTGGGCCTCAATTATATTCTGGGCCTTGATTCTAGCCTGTTTTGTTATTGACCCACCCTCAGATTTTGTGCTGAAGGGTCTCAGGCCTAATCCTTGTTTTTGGATTGATCACCAGATTAATATTTCAGCCTTCATCAATCCCACCCTCAGTCTTGTGCTGAAGGGATAGAGGCTGTTTTTCTCCTTGGCAGGGGGGCCGCTTTGGTTCCGTCCAGCCTTTGCTACCTGGTTATCCCACCCTCAGACTTGCGCTGCAGGGATTCAGGTTTCTTTGCAAGGAGTTCATACTGGTTTTCCAGTCCTTTGGTTCTTTTTACTTGATACAACCCATCTTCAGTATTGGGCTGAGAGATTTCAGGACACACTATCCCTGATTGAATCTCAGGGGCGTTTTCACTGGTTCTCATCTGTCTATTCAACACTATTTTATCTTTTGCTACCCTTTCAGTCTCACCTGTAGATCACGTGTAATGGCGGAGGAGTCACAGCCCGATCTCGTTCTGGCACCTACCAGTCCTCCTGCTAAGCGGAGGCGCAAATCATCAAAGACTGAGGTAGCGGACAGGCTCAGGGCCAAGGCAAAAGCTGTCTCCAGTAAGGCTCCATCCAAAAGGGCTGAAAAAGAGGCCGCCAGGAGACATCAGGCTCTAGAGAGGCAGATATCCAGGGCTCAAAAAGCTGCGTTGCCACAGCAGGTACCGGTTGTTCCTGAACCTCCAGGGGCTTCTCCTTTCAGCCCCCAGGTCACCACAATTGCACAGGTACACAGACCATTGTCTCCGGACGGTGGCTCCCACTCTTTAATGGATAACCCCATGGCGTCCAATCCAAATCCGACATGGGGAATTCCTCAGCCTACCCCTCCCCCTCCTCCGACCACGTTCACGCCCATGGCCGCTGGTCTCCGTTCTGAGCAGCCACAGACACTTGCTCCAGAACAATTACAATCTATGCTCACGCAGGTGTTGGGTTGTCTTTCTTCTTTACAGAAATCTCAACATTCCACACCCTCACAACGTAAATCTCCCACACCGGATTACGCTTGTTCCGTTCCTTCTGAACATTCCTCACTGAGCGGAGAATATTATTCCGATATTGAGGAATCACAAGGAGCAGTCTTATCAGAAGATGAAGATGATTCTCAGGAATCATCTCCTTTTGTAGGGCTCTTTAATCCCACCCTGTTCAAAACTATTCTGACCAAAGCCTCAGCTTCATGCCAGATAGAGCCAGAACCTGAACCAGAACCCACCCCTTCCACCAGTCAGACTTCAAATCCTGTGTTCGCTGAGCGCACGATTACTCAAAAACACATTCCCTGTCCCCCTATTTTTACCAATACGGTTAAAAAACAGTGGACTAATCTGGGTATCTCTCCGGCTCCTGGGTCCTCTGACAAGAAGTTGTTCAGCGTAGCTCCATCCCTGACCAACCTCTTGGAGGTTCCCTCTGTTGACACTTCCCTCACTCCCATCTTTTCCAACACCACGATTGCTGGGGACATGGCGGAGGCATTAAAACCAGAGGACAGAAAATCAGAGTACTCCCTCAGGAGGGCGCATCAGGCGTCAGGGTGGGCGATAAAGGCCTC